GATTTTTGTGCAAAAACTTCTAAAATCCATAACTTTCGAATACGGGCTCCGTTTTTGACGTTCTGTATATGCACGCGTAGGTAAAACTACGCTCTACAACTTTCGTTTAGACTTCGTCGGCTAATTTTGACTTTAATTTTTATATTATTATTTTTAACAGACCGGGACATGAAATCCGTTAAAAATTCATAACTTCTTCATCCGACGTCCGTTTTCGTTTGTCTTTTTACCGTTGTGCTACTATTTACGAGACCTTCGATTCTCGTTTAGGTTGTGTCGGCTAAAAATCACTCGATCTAAAATTCGAGTTTTTAGTTGTCTACTGCTATGCTGAAACTTAGAAAAATCATAACTTCCTCATACGAAGTCAGATTTGGGCGTTCTTTTTATACATACTCTCGGTTTAACGAACACTACAACTTTCGTTTAGATCACTAAGGCTAAAAAGTAGTTTATCAAAAACTCACTTTTTACGTCATACGGCACCGTGCCGGTTTTGTCACGAAACTTCGACAGGTCATAACTTCTTCGTTATAACTCGGATTTCGGTATTCTTTATATATCAGTAATCCTTTTCACGACCACTACAACTTTCTTAGTAGATATCGGCTTTATCTAATATTTATTTTCGACGCTCTTTTTTATTCTTAATTAATTAAATCCTAATAATTAAGCATAAAACACATAATTCACATAATATTCACATAATTCCTTTTCATTTCTTCAAAATGAGTTTCAAAGGTTAACCTAGACTTTTATGTCAATATTAATGCCTAGCCTAGAAACACGGGCGTTACATAAGTATTGGACGTTGATTGAGAACATTCACACAAAACGTAATACGGTTTTTCAATCTAATTCTAAAAGTTTGTTTAAATTAGGTTAGTAAAGCTAGGTTTAACTCAACGAGCTTGATTTGGTTTAAATAATTTTGTGAATAAAAGTGCTAGAGTGAGTTAGTGTTTTCAAGTACCAACTTAGATAGAATGTGAATTGAATTCATTTCATGATTAAATTGCATAACACATGAATGAAGTATAGAATCAAAACCCTTTAACTATTGAATTAAATTTAGCTTTATCATTGTAACATCCCAAAAATTACAATGAGATTTTTCATTTTAGAGACAGAATAATCGATTAAAACCTTTAACTTAAAAACAATAAGTAACATTCATATGTTTGATACCATAATGTTATCAGAGTTGAATTACAAGACAACATAAATCATTATCTTTGGTGCATGTATACAGTCCCGCCGAGCTCTTCTCACGAACAACCTACAAAACATTTTATACACAACTGTAACCATAAAGCTTATTGTGCTCCCCATTATACCACATATTCCATCATATATACAATGCATCGACACAAAGTCTTCGGCTCTAGCGTCGACCTGCCAACTCTCCTATCAATATGCATATAACATACATAAAAATCATATATGAAATAACGAGTCTACTCTAACCCCAAGTGAATGCTATAGGCCAAATCATAGTCTTATAGTCACATCCTGTCATGAGTCAAATCCTAGTCTTACATACAAGTGTCAGGGGCCAGATCATGGTTTTTCATACAATACATAAAGTCATATGTGGTTAGAGATCATATAGACAGTTGAACTGATGGTCGAGCTTAAAGTAATAAATCAAACAAGAACCATGCAATAAGGCTTTAGAGCAAGAGTTCTCAGGCTATCCAAATTAACCTCTTACAACCATTATTGACATTACCCTAACCAATCATGACACCTAACAGTATCATATATTCTACAGGCAAGACCCTACCAGTCTAGCATATCATGACACTAGGTGTCTTATACTGCACAACCAACGATATCATACAATCAACAGGCAATAACCTACCAGTCTAGCATACCATGACACTAAGTGTCCTATACTGCACAAATCAATAGTATCATACAATCAAGATGCAAGACCCTACTAGTCTAGCATATCATGACACCAAGTGCCTTATAATGTACATGCATAATAAGGAGTTATCCTAGTCGACTAGCATACGCGTACCCTAACAATACTTCTATCTTATCATGCAAAGAATATACAATGTCAGACGCGACATAGTGAGAAAACTCACATGAATACAACTGAAAGTCCACACGCCTCGAACGCGAGTCAACACTGGCGAAACAACAAGCACATACCACATATTAACAATCAGAGTCTAATCGTTAGTCCAAAACTTATATCCTATGAAGTTTGACCAAAAAGTCAAAATGGTCAAAAGTCAATTGTCCGACGCTACACTCGGCGTAGCACATACCTATGCTCGACATAAAACTAAGACAAAATAGCCGAATTTCTTCATCCCTATGCTCGGTGTAGCACAATGCTACTGTTCACAGAACCAACTTTTTGGTTAAGTGCTTAATCCGTTAAGCCAATATCCCAAACTTTCTAGAAGTCCAATATACTCCGAAAGGACTCATAAAAATCAAAACTTTATGGATATATGCATGTCTCATGCATGTCCTACAACATTCTAGGTCAAAAATGGTGAAAGTATAACCTTGAACCCGTATATAACACTAGTATAAGTCCAAACTCCAGATCAAAAGATCGAACATTCCAAGGACATTCAGGAATGATAGAGTTGAAAGCTTTATCTAGAGTTCTTCCTTGAACTTTAACCAAAACCACAAAAGGGACTCAAGGACCATAATATTCAAGATCTAGAAAACGTGAATTATAAAGTTGGGAACTTGATGACTTACAAATGTCCACAACATGCACAAGAAGCTGGAACTATGCCGAAAACACTCACTAAAGCTCCAAATAATGATGAACTTCCTTGAACACTCCCAAAATGGCACCCATAAGAAGCAAAAGGAGGGAGGAGAGAGAAATGAAGGCTAGAGTTTCGTTCTTTGGAGGATAGAGGTTGATATCTAGAAACCCTAACAAAAAGAGATGCTTAAATAGTGACCAAACCCAAAATCTAGGGTTTTGTGCAAACAACGGCGCTACGCTCGGTGTAGCACATACATATGCTCAGCATAGCTCACACCTACGCTCGACGTAGGAACAGAATCTTGAAATTCATCATTTTACACTAACATATGGCATCCCGGGAAACGGGTGTTACAATCGTACGCACTTTATTCACTATTTTTACAAACAAACAATTCTCCCCATTTTAGTTACAATATGACTTGTGCAGAAAGGCGTATTCATTAGTCCTGTGTTGTGTTTCATTGTGGACCGACCCTTTTACCTTATATTATTTTTTTGGTACAACACAACAATAAGGAGTCTAGTTGTACCCCTTTATTTTTTGGGTTTAACATTCTAACAATTACAAAATAATGTAAATTGCATTTCATTAACCTCATATTCATTCAATGCATACCTATATTATAACATCTTTTGCCATGTCATGTATTGCTTTGTAATGCATAACAAACAAGCTTGAGGGAACAACAACCAACATGGCTCATTACAAACCCTATATAAAGAAATGGACCAAAGGGACAACCAACCATAACAAAACCTCAAATAATTCATAACTTCTAAAATATCCTTCAATACATACATTACCATTGTAGGCTTATCTCCAACCATGATAGGTTGAAATCATTCAATCTAATATATATAGACCTCAATTGCCTATTTTCTAGATCAGAGTAAGTTCACTTTTATGCATTGACAAATTTACATTTTAATAGTTTTGCGAATTGGTGCTGGATTTTTCAAGTTCATGATTCTTCCTTCCTAGAAAGAACTACTAAGGCAAACATGAAAGAGGATAATGAGCATAAATAATGTAGTAGTTCAAAAAAGGTAGAATGGTAAAAGAAAAATCAATGACTAGTCATGTTGGTATTCTACCGATAAATTGAAATGAACAGTATTGTTTGCAACTTAAAATATTTTAGTATATATTGTTATTCTTTTTAGATTGTAGTCTTCATTGTTGGGAAGTCTTATTCGTTTTATTTCATTGTTAAATTAGTTAAGTCGGTTAGTATTTACTTTCCCTTGTTTGTGGTAGTGGTAGGTTATATTTATATTAAGGAGATAGTGGGTCAGTTAATTTCTTTTCTTAGAATAGTTTAATTTCTTTTCTTAGCATAGTTCATTCGTTGAGGGGTCATTTCTTTAATTTCTCCATTAAGTTGTGTACGAGTAAAGTGACGAAATAGATATATAGATATACATAAGGCATGTTTCTTTTCTAGACCGAATAAATCGTGTGAATTAGACTAAATGGCCATTTACAATTTTCACAATACTCGTCAATTCTAAAAAGATTCATCAATTTTATTGTGAGAGGAGTTTGAGGGGGAGAAAATGGCTGATATGTAAAGGATTAGTGTCTAAATATGTTACACTTCTTAGTAGACTTGGGTTTAGCTGTGTAAGTTGTGGCTTAAGTAGAGAGATGAGGGTAATAAGGTCTTTTTTAATGTTAGAACATTTAGGTAGGTTTAGTTGAGTATAAATACCATGTTAGCATAAAAGCTCAAGAAGATTGCTAGTCACTTAAATAGCAATTAGTTCTTGTAATCTTTCAACTATTAGCCCTAATCATTCAATTCCAGTTCAATCTTTCATTTCTAAATACCATAGTACAACTAAATATCACCTATTAAGCCAAGTTTTTTAGCTTAACCCATTACGTCATTTGCTCGGATTAAATAAAAAGAAACAACAATGTATAACTATCCACCCTGACGTGTATAACCCACTCATATTTGTCTCCAAGAGTCTGAACTATGAGTTTGTCACTTCCAAGTGAACCTAAGGAACCAATTTTAGTCAAATTCACATCCCCCTCTTGTCCTATGTTATAGATTTAAGCAAGTTACAACTACCAATATAACAAATAAGTTTCCCTAGCGGAATAAAAAAAAAAAAAAAAACTACGGTTAAAGAGCAAGGGACCTATATATCTTTTACCACACAACTTTATTCACAAACATAATAATAAGAAAAAAAGCTTAACATCATTTGCAAGAGGACATTGCTTAATGATTTTCTTTGTCATTCTACCATTTTCCCCTACCTCTATAAAACTTTGAAAGACGTATACATTAGTCATCTATATATCAGCTATTCTGTAGTATAACTGCACACATTCTTAAACGGGCAGCAACTGTAGTCTATAGTCTATACACACAACTCCCTATGACAATCTTGGTTTCTTGTGAGCATGAATATCATCTAAACCATTTTCAGGGAAGGATCTTATTTTGAAGGTTACAACACAAAACAGGATCTTCAATCTATTACACAACCTATTTCTCTGATTGGAAATGCAAAGGCTCTCAAATCCATTATAGATCTCATTATACTTTCCCCTTAAAGATTCAGGTAGTAATTCTAGGTCTGGACATTTCCCATCAGATACCATGTTACCAAATAAACAAGTTTCATCAATGTCCAAGTCAAGATCATCCAGGAATATTATGTTCTTGCCAAAGGTAACAGGTTCAGTTTTTGGAAGTTGAAGGCGAGCATGATTAGAACTAGAAGAGCAAGGAGGGAAATGTGCAGCAAATTGGTTATCCTCAACATGGATTACATCCCCCCAGTTCTCAAATGCAGAAATTACCAAATTCTTGGCTACTTCCTGATGCCACATATCAACACCATGTATTATTTTGAATGCAGCAAACAATATATTAGGAAAAATGATTCTAGTGTTTGGATTTTGATGATGGAAAAAAAAAGCATGCCTTTTGGGTCTGTGTGAGTTTATCACTAGAAAGAAAACGGTTGTCCTGGAATAATCCCAACACTTCACCAGAGACATTGAAAAAAACCCTAGAACAGTACTGCAGTTTAGCAGGACATTCTCGAGCATGCTCCACTGTAATCCTCCAACTTTTTGCGTGATTTGAATGATCAAATATCTAGAAATATATATTATAAATACTGTAATGTTATACGTTAAGCAGCAAAAAGATAACGAATTACTAGAATTGAGGGGGTAGATAAATATTGCAAAAAGAAAAGAAATTTACCTCCTTGAGATGTTGAGTTTGTCGAAATAAATGAACAAGAAAATCTTCCACAGTTATAATGTCTGCCTGTTCCATATTTTTAGCCAAACAACCATTTCTGTCAACCTTACGTAATCGCCATATCTCATCATGTAGAGATGGAATATAATGCTTCGCGTATGCTGCACAATAAGTACTCTCATTAATAAATAAAATATCCCATACATAAACTGTGAAATAGTGTCATGTGTATAAGCACTGAATCTAAAAAAGACAGAAAATAAAGAAAAACTATATCGTTTCTCACCTTTAGTGCGACAATCTTTGAGAAGAAAGGACCCTGACTTTGCTTCTTTGACTCGAACACCATTGCAATTATTCACAAACTTTGCTCCCAGTCTAAGTTTGGAATTCTTCATCCACTTGTCATTACGTGCAAAAGAAACCATGGGCAAAATAGCAGTGCCTTGTATTAGATTCAGGAATAAATTTTCCACACGACTAGATCTACTGCCTTCCATATGCGTAACAAGTATGCTGTTATTTTTCACATCTTCTCCTGTGACACCATCAACCTCTGCTTCAAGAACTAGTATTTCAACTTTTCCTGAGGCTTCAGGCCCTGACTTCACTGCTTCCTTGGTACGACTTTCAACTAAAGTCACTTCTAAAGGTACACCTCCAATTGCTTGTATGTGATCGCCAGTGAATAAAGTGGGAATGATGCTGTTTGAGAACCTTAATTCTAAGCTTCTTGATTCAGATTTGTCTTCCCTGTTAGGTCCAAGAAGCAAAAAGGTTAATCAACAAATGGCTACATGTTGATAACTTTTTAGTGTAATTTATAGGTGCTTACCTGTGCATGCTAGTTGTATCCTGGTTTTTATGTGACAATTCAATTTCCTCTTTCACCTGAAAGTACATGAAACAGTTTACTTTGTAACTTTTCTATTTTGAACACAATAGTTAAAAGTACGGGTTTTCCAGTTTGTAGGGGTTAAAGATGGAGAATGGAAGGTAGAAGGAGTTAGTGATTAGGGAATGAGTTTAATTCCCCCAAATTTTGGGAGAATGGGTGGATGATTACTCAGAATTTGGTAATATATGGTTCATCCAGTCATACCCAGCCACCACTGTTCATTACTATCCTCATTCCATATCATCCAAAACCCACAACACCCTTACAACATAGATTACTACGAAACCAAAATCCCATACTTTAAGTACTATAAAACATGACTTACTGGAGTTGCAGCCTTGCAGGAGCTACCAAGATTAGTTTGAAATCCAGAACACACTTGGAATAAATTAGATACTTTTAAGTATTGAAAAATATAACTTACTTAAGTTGTAAGGGCTGTGAAGATTAGGGAAAATTACTATAAAAAATGGTTCTCATCTCCAATATGAGAACCACGTCTCTTAGAGAAGAAATGTCACCAGGTAAGAATTGCACATGTTTTTTTTTGGCATGTAGTATGCCCAAACATCTCCTTGAAGGAGGTCTACTTCTAACATAAGCATCATGGCCTTTGGTTAACTTCATGGACCAGTTATCTACACGATTTGGTGTATAAAGAAATAGCTATAGATTAAATAAACTATCTTGAATAAAAAAATGGCTATGGCACCTGTGTGATTAGATCAAAGTTCCTGCTTGTATCTCATTACAGAAACTCTGTTCCTAAAAAGCATGTACAAAATGATTCAAACCTAGCTTTACTTTCCACTCCAAAATCAAGTTATGGAACAAGAGCAGGAATACAGTACTTACATTCAAACGGTTGAATCGCAACACATTATGATCCACTTTAAAGTAATTTTACAGATTAATGAAGTTTTAAGATTAATATCGTTTTTTTAAGTGAAGAATTCCCTGTTAATAAACCTTGCATTACCGACGAAACACAAATTCGTAATGTAATGCACTCACTACTATTCGAAACCATTGGTCGAATCGAGGCCGCAGATGATGTGGAATACCGCTCAACATTTTCTGCAATTCATCCCTGTGAACAGACGACAAAACGGATATACTGAAATCAAATTTGCAAAAAGAAGTAAAATCTAATTGAAAAGCATAAAGAAAAGATGGAATCCTACTCTCTGTGAGGAGCGAATCTCATTAAGGCGTCATCATCTCCAAAGTTGTTCGTTTTCGGTGATCCGACGCTTTGCCTGCTGCAAATCCGTGATTGATAAGTATCATGAAGCGACATTTTGGATTTTTCGTGAAATGAAAACAGACAGAAACGACTACAACTACCAAATCTATGTATTTGATTCTCGAATTGATTGCGAGTGAGTATAATGATTCGAACATGATATGGTGACAAGCGGATGGTTGTACTTTCGAGGCTACTTCTTGGAAAATTTCGGTACCCCAACGGAGATGCTGTGGTGGTACACTCTCAAACCGTGTTGAAAAGTAGAACTCCTCTTCCCCATTCCCCCAACTCTCTACAGTGATACAGTCGACACCTCCTTTATTACAACCCACAAATTATAAAGTATTGGATAACCATAAAATACCGCATACTAGAGCATTCAAATATCAGTTTAAAAAAATCAAAGCTGTTTGAAGCTATAAAAACAGTTTTAAATGAAAGCTTTTTCAAAATATTTTTTATTTATATTTTCCAATTATTATGTGGTTGTAAGTATTAACAAATTAGAAATTAACAACTTGTTTAAACATCTTATAAAAATCAATTTGAAAAAGCTTTTTTTATTGTGGAACATTTTATAAGTTATCAAAAAATCCTATCCTATGTGGCTTCAACTTGGATGCTATTATTCTTTCTATTCTATGTGGCTTCAAAAAATCTTATATGGCTTCAAAAAAAAAAAAATCCTATGTGGCAGCATACTAAGCATGTTACCACTCCCTTCAGCTTTATTAATCCTAATTTTTAGACGTTTCTCGAAATTATTAATATGCCTAGAATGAGTATATTTCGGATTTCGAACATCGTATTTATTTTCATACTTATATCTTGACCTTTGTTTCCTATCATGTCAGTATCATTGTTTTTTCAAATAAATAACACATCATGTCTTTATATTGAAATATACTTTATTTTTTATGAGATGTTTGAATTTGTAAATGTTCTATGTATTTCGGAAATGTTCTTTGGATTTTTCAGTCTAAAATACTATACTTTTTCAGAAATACTTAGCGATATCAGGTTGGGGATTCAAGTTCCGTTGTAAAAGAAATATGTAGTTTATGAGTTGAATAGAGTGTTCGTGTGTTTATCGTTTTTAAAAAAATAAAAATATATTTATTTCTACGTTTGTTATATTTCATGGGTAACACAAATAAGTCATCTTTTAACCATACATTTTAACATGTATTTCCTTTTCCTTGTGTTGATATATTTAAGAGATGTTCTTTATATTTTAAACTCTTGTTGTATTTCACATGTATTTCATTTTCCTTATGTTGATATACGCCTCACATATTTGAAGAATGAATCCAAAAAAGCACTTGCCTATCGGGAAAGAATCTAAAAGACCGGCATGTCAATCATTTTGTTTCATTTTTGTGGATCCTAGACCTAGTACGTCTACTAAGAAACCTAAGAAAGCTATTATGGTTTGGGGTGACCTTGCAATGCACACTTACGATCGGTCAATCCCTAACCGCTCAATTTGGCTATGTCAGAGTCTCTTAGAGTATAAGAGCATTGGGTATGGGCAACACCCATACCCACCCACAACGCAGCCACGTCACCATCTTCTCTCCACAACCAGATTAGGGGATGGTGTTCTTCATTTTATACCCCGTTAAGGTGAAGAAAAGCAGAGGAAGAAAGAAGAAGAAGATGTCGTTGTTTTAGGTTGTCGTTACCACGAGAAGCAATAAAACGAGCACGTGGGGCGGTGTGCCTCGCGTTAAGACGGCGCTATGGGCCTTCCACGTAGACAATAACGGCGTGGAGGGTACCCATATCGTATACTCTAAGGTTTAGAGTGTATTGTATGTAACACACCACTTTTATAGACTTAAAAAACTATGGTTTTTAGAATATTTTATATAACTTAAAGTCATATTTAGCAAAATATGGTATCGCAAAAACAAAATCATTTTTTGTTTTAAAACATAAACCAACACTTTACAAGTTACTACCAAAAGTAAAGCATTACATTTATAAAAGAAACTATGTTGATATTTTAATGGGAAATCTTCGGAAAAGTCTTAATATTTTACCCTAATTTATGAAAGAATTCCAAACTAAAATTTGTTTATGAAAAAATCTCAATTACCGGTAAAAATGAAGATTTGACACTTTTTTCCGGTTTACCGGTTTCATTAGTTACCCGGTTTCATTAAAGTCTCATTATTTTAGCATAATTTACGAATAAGTCTCAAACTAAAATTAATCGATGATTTAACCATTTTCTCCCTGTAACATACATAGTACCGGTGTTATTTCTGACCTGGACGCATAGTTATTAAATGAGTTGATGATATGGATAAGAAATTTCAAATTGTCTATCTAATCTTATGTAACCGAATATATCTATCTCATCAGCTCATTTTCCACCATTTTTCCCCCCAAAATACACATTTTATCGGTTTCATTGCTGACCTGGATACATAATTATAAATGAGCCGATGAAATGGATATCAAACTTTACGGTAAACGTAGCATTATATAACCCATTATATCCATCTTATCAGCTAATTTAATGACTAGACGTCAAGATCAACAATAAACCCAATAAAATGTATGTTAAATGGAGAAAATGGTCAAATCATTAGTTAGTTTTAATTTGGGACTTATTCGTAAATTATGGTAAAATAATGAGACTTTAATGAAACTGTGTAAGTAATGAAACTGTGTAAGTAATGAAACCGGTAAACCGAAAAAAATGGGTCAAATCGTCATTTTTACCGGTAATTGGGACTTTTTCGTAAACAAATTTTAGATTGAGACTTTTTCGTAAATTAGGGTAAAATATTATGACTTTTATGTAGATTCCCCATATTTTAATCTTCCAAAAGTCTACTTTTACATACTAATATCTTTCAGCCCCTCATACCTAAACCAATGATACATGACAATAAACAAAATATGTTAGACAAAATTATATTGTGAGCTACATGAGTTTAGACAATTTACAATATCAAAACATCTGATAAATTTTTTACTATAGACATATTTTACATGATACATTCAAATGTAGAAGTTATCGGCCCATCCCGATCCATTTTCCATAAGTACTTTAAGTTTGTGGTTATATACCACACCACTTACAACTACCAATTATCATTGTTGTAGCTTCTTACGTTCACCAATTATCATTAATGTAGCTACTTATGGGTTGCGTTCGCCATCACCATCCCAATAAGAACTAATGAACTCGGTATGGTAGCTGAGGCCGCTACTTTGGGAAGGGTGGTACCTTCCCGTTAGTGCTTTTCTATCCTGTAATAGGACCTTTCGGTTTAGACCTTATCAACAAGACTCGCATGCAATTGTACTTTATGTATTCATGATAACCACTTTTGTTTTATCATTAATTTCAATCACACATGTGTCACGAAATTCATAGAATACAATATTATACTTTGCATAGTAAAAATATTTACAAGCTTTATCATAATTGTAAACAACTAGTATTTAAGTGAGCATTGTGGTGGAGAATTCGTTTGCAATTAATAAAAATAAAAACTATAAAAAAATTATGTAAGGAAACAAAAACGCAACTTTAATACGTGGGGTAACTCATTTTCAATTCATATATATAATGTGATTTACAAATGTCAACGACCCTCATAACGGTGAAGATTATACAATATCAAGTGGACCACAAAAATATCAAAATAAAGTTTTGATCCAAACAATTATGTATGTAAGAGTCGAACGAAAATAAGACTTGAAAGTGTATCTTAAGGAAATTAATAAAAATGAAAACTATAAAAGAAATTATATCATGGAACAAAAACATAACTTTAAAATATAATAAGAGACTAAAATTGAAACTTATACAAATAATTTAAATTAAAAATCATGAAAGATAAAAACTGTTAAATCAAAATTTCTTGAGAGGAAAAAATGTAAATGCGAAAATTTGTTATGATAAGAAGCGAATCAGAGAAATTTATTTTGTATCTTCTGCTACATGCCGGAAAAGTTGCAATGTATTCGTTTTAGCCATTTTTGGTTTGGAAATAATGAAATCTAATGAATAGTAACTTACACTCATAAGGCTGGTAGGTATCATACTACACTTACCACATTTTTGTACTGTCACATCATTTTTTTCCCTCACCCCGTAAAACTGATGGGTGTCATATCATACCTTACGTCACTTTTATTTTATTATAAATATATGTAAATAATATATCGATATTATACTCTATTTGTAGGAAACAAAAAACTATGAATTTTGATATATATTTTTATAATTTATATATATATATATATATATATATATATATATATATATATATATATATATATATGTTTTAATAATAATTAAAAATGAAAGAAAAAGTAAAAAAAAAAGGTGCGGCAAAACCATGACTCACTTACTTCATATCACACTTCTTTATGGGGTCGGTGCGGTGTTTACCGCATACCGCACTACGCTGCGGTATGCAGTATAGTGCACACCGTATGGTCTAAACCATATTTGCAAATTTATATATATATATATATATATATATATATATATATATATATATTATATATATATATATATATATATATATTGTAACGTTCGTGAGTTCAGGCTAAACGTTTATTGAATAATTAAAAATAAATAAATAAGAATTCTTCAAATGATATATATATATATATATATATATATATATATATATATATATATATATATATATATATTATATATATATATATATATATAGGATAGGATCAAATGAGAACACCTAAAAGGTTGAGAACGCGAGAACAGTTGTAGACCAATCATTTTTAGAGGGCATAAATGGAATTTTACCATCTAATTAAATTATGAGTTCCTAAATTTTAGTGATTATGTGACAATTACCCAAAATATCTCATTTTTAGATCCTATTCTTTTAATGAACCAATAATTAATAAAATCATGATTTAATTTCTATCTAAAAAAACGTTTTTTTTTTCATTTCATTTTTCATTTTTATGTTTCATTTTTAGCAATCAAATATCAAGAGAATGAACAATTTATCGGTTTACCTCATTTATTTAAAAAAAATATCTTCATAAATAATGATTTATACATTTCATTTTAAAATGAATAAAATTGTAAATTATAAATGAATTAACTCAGATGTATTTATGAATACACTTGTAAAATCATAAAAGAATAAAACCCGAAAAAAAGATTATAAAATCAACTAAAATGATACTCATATATAAATAAAGAAAACACTTTTCTATTCATATAAGAATATAATTATAATTGTAAATGAATAAGTTACAATATATATTTTTTTGATACGGAAACTAGTACTACAATTACAATCATAAATGAATAAAACATCTTTG